TTTATACCTCATGGTTACACTTTTCTGTTGGATGATTAAGACCAAGTTAAAGCAAGACCTATATAACTAAAAATGTAACTTTTGTTATTTGATAAGATCAGTCAAATCCCCTCAGGATTTAACTTGGAACCATGTACAGCACCTGGATCTTTTGTCAGAGTCAGCCATCTGGATGAGTCACAGCCATTGCTTGACCAATGTGCTCTCTGTGAAAGCCTGAGAAAATTTTTTCTCTCTAGGTGACTCTCCTTAGGTACACTATACATTGATCACTTTTCTCTGTGGCTCCATAATCTCCTTGATCGGATAATTTGGGGGGACTGGGGAGATGGCTCAGTGGAATAAGCACTTCCCTGGCAAGCGCAAGAGCCTGAGTTCTATCCCTAGATCCGCCAAACAACAACAAAAAAGAAACAAAGAAAAAGAAAGAAGAAGAAAGAAAGAAAGAAAGAAAGAAAGAAAGAAAGAAAGAAAGAAAGAAAGAAAGAAAGAAAGAAGAAAGAAAGAAAAAATTGGGACAGTGTTGTTACAAGATGTCAAAGCAGAAGTTCTCTTATGTCCTGAGTCCTCAATGACCTTAGGACCAAAATATTGGCTATCCTTTTAACCCATTTATCTGTCTAATTTTTGGTCTGCAAACTTTAGTTGTTAAACATCCAGAAGAAAAGCTTGATTATATTATTATCCTAGAACAGAGGTAGTTAAGCTTAACATCACTATCTGTCTGAATATCACATACCTTAGACATAAAATGCAACTGCTATTTTCCAACAACCACAGATATTCTAAAATTTAAATCCCTATAGAATGTGAAAAAAATCAATTATACATTTTTACACAGAAATTTAGAAATCAAACCATATACAACATTGTAACAGTATAATCCTGCTACATTTTGTTTTTCTTCTTTCTCATTTACTTTTATTGCCTTTCTTTTTTTTGCGTACATTTACTTTAAAGAGAGTATAGAAATAACAAAATCTTTACTTTTACAGGATGCAAAACTCTGAAGAAATGGTCAGATTCTTAGATACATATGAATTACCAAATCTGAATCAAGAAGATATAAAAATTTTGAATAACCCAATGCTAGTGAATAAAATTGAAAATATAATAAAACTATATCAACGAAGAAAATCCCAGGTTCAGATGAATTCACAACTGAATTCTACAAGAAATTTAGATTTTATACCAACTCTTCTCAAACTCTTCATTGAAATTGAAAGGGAAGTAATTCTCTGAAACTCATTCCTGGAGGCAAGTATCACTCAAAGCCAGAGAAAAACCTAACCAAAGAAGACAACTGTAGGTTAATCTCCCCCATAAATGTAGATGCAAAAATCCTCAATAAAATACTAGCAAACAGAATGCTGCAAATCATCAAGAAGTTTATACATCATGACCAACTGAGGTTATCCCAGGAGTACAAGGACATATGCAAAGTTCGATATATGCTAATCCACAAATGTAATACATTACATCAGCAGAGCCAAAAACAAAGATCACATGATCATTTCAATAGATGCATCTCAATAGATGCAGACATCTCAATAAGTCCAATGCTCATTCATGATAAAAACCCTGTAGAAAATCAGAGTAGATGGTCTTTACCCCAACTTGATAAAAGCCATCTATGAGAAACCAACAGCCAACATCATACTAAGTGGACAAAAATTGAAAGCCTGCACTTTAATATCAGGAACAAGATAAGGATTCCACTGTTACCACTGTTATTCAACAGAGTTCTAGAAACATTAACCAGAGCAACTGAACAAGAGAGAGAAATAAAAAAAAATAATGATTGGAAAGGAAGAAGTGAAATTTACGTTACTTGCAGATGACATGATATTCTACATAGAAGACTCCAAAAACCCCAGCAAGAGACTGGTAGACTTAATAACCTAATTCTGTGGCATAGCAGGATGCAAAGTCCACACTAAAAAAAAAATCAATAACTTTTTGTACACATGCAAATGCACTGAGAAAGTAATTAGGGAAAACACACCTTTCAATATCATCCAAAGAAATGAACTCCTTAGGAATCAATCTTGCAAAGGAAATAGAATATTTATACATTGAAAATGGGGGATGGGTCACAGGGAGATGGCTCAGTAGAATAAGCACTTCCCTGGCAAGTGCAAGGGTCTGAGTTCAATTCCCAGTTCCACCAATAAAAAAAAAAGAAAAGAAAAAAGAAAAAAGAAAGAAAGAAAATTACTGTACTCTGAAAAAAGCAACTGAAGAGGATTTGAGAAAATGGAAAGATATTTCTTGCTCATGATAAGGAAGAACCAACACTGTGCCAATAGCCATATCCCCAAAACTGCTATGTAAATTCACTGTAATCTCAATCAAACTACCATTAGTATACCTCAAAGATCTAGAGAAGCCATTCCTAAAATTCATCTGGAACCAGAAGACACCTAGGATAGCAAAAGCATTCCTCAGCAACAAAGGAAAGGCAAGAGGCATCACAATCCCTGACTTGAAATTATACTACAAAGTTACTGTGATAAAATTCTCATGGTAGTGGCAAAAACAAAAAATAAAACAAAACACAGACCTGAGAATCAATGGAACAGATTAGAAGATGCAGATACACTACAAACACACTCAACCACCGTATCTTTGACAAAGAGGCCAAATATGTTCACTGAAAGAAACATAGCCTCTTTAGCAAATGGTGCTGGGAAAACTGGCTCTCCACATACCAAAGGCTAAAATTAGACCCATATCTATCACCATGCACTAAACTACAATCAAAATGGGCCAAAGATTTAAATGTTAAAAGAAACTAAATCTTCTGGAGGAGAAAGTAGGTAGGAATCTTAAAGATATAGCAGTAGGCAAAGAGCTCATGAACAAAAACCAAACCACATGGGAAATAATTCAAAGAATCAACAACAGGGATCTCATCTTTTTGAAAAGTTTCTGCATGTTAAAAGAAATCACCAACAAAGTAAAAAGAAAACTTACAATTTGGGAAAAATTTTAGTTGACTGGCCCTTCAACAAAGGATTTCTATCTAGAATATATAAAGAATTTTTTAAAAATCACGGCCCCCAAATTCGAAGATCCAATCCAAAAATGGGCAGCTGAGATGCGTTTTACACTTCTCAGATGAAGAAATACAAATGGCAAATAAATATGTGAAAAGATGGTCAACATCATTGGTCACTCAAGAGATGCAAATTAAATCGATGCTGAGATTTCATCTTGTCCCAAAAAGAATGGCTTTTATCAAGAAGTCAGCCAATAACAAATGTTGAAGGGGCTGTGGGGAAAAAGAAACCCTCTTCTCTTTTGGTGAGAGTGTAGACTGGCACAGCCGCTATGGAAATCAGTATGGAGATTTCTCAAAAAGCTAGAATTAGAAGTGCCATTCAACTCAGCTATTCCTCTCCTGGGTAGCTTTCCAAATGAACTGGAAGTATCATACCACAGTGATATACATGCATCTGTGTTTATAGCAGCACAATTTGTCATAACTAAATCTTGGAAACAACTCAAAGCCCATCAATTGAGAAATGGATAAAGAAGATGAAGTATTTTTACATAATGAAGTATTACTCAGCTATAAAAGAAAGATAAATTTGAGGCTTTTATAATGTAAATAGATGCAACTAGAGACTTACTAATGTAAGTCCATGAAAGACTTAATAAAATCTGATAGGTATAATAGATACTGGGAAAGGGAAAGAATCTTTTCAAAAACTGGGATAAGTAAAAAGGACAGGAGAGAGAAGAGGGGGGAAAAAGATGAATTTATGTATGTATGCAGGATAGCTTGGATAATTGTACTGTTGATTTTTGCTGGTCTCCAGAGGGCAACAGTTGATGCTTACATTTTTTTCTTGTCATTTTTAATTTCTTATAACATTTTTTAAACCAATTTTACATGCTTACATGTGGTAATGTAAACAACTACCTTGAAAACATTATGAAATACAGTAACTATTGTCAAGCTTGTCTTGTTTTGTGAAGCTGTGTATCATTTCTAATCTTTTGTTTTACTATTTTTATTCTTTTCAGATAATAAATTAAAAAGTAGGAAATAAAAATAATCAAGTTTGGAAGGAGTCACACATCCCCGTGAAAACTTGGTTCTTCACAGGGAATGGAGCTCAGGTAAGGGTGCTGAGGCACTCGACATTTGACTTCTAGAGGACAGAACGCCTGCAAAACGCCAGCTGGTGGGGGTAGCTGGAGGCAGAAAACTGCCACCGCGGGAAGTGCTGGAAATGTTTCTTCACACTTGTGAGGCGCATGCATGGGGAATCAGAAAGCATGGTGAAAGCAACTCTAGATGGCACGAAGTTGAACACTTGGCAATCATTGGAGGAGTTTAGGAAACAAGACTGTTTGCGACCAAGTATCAGCTCCTCAGAGTGAGGGCAAACCTTTTAGAGCTTTCAATGATAACAGCCAGCTGCAGTATGTGTGCCATAGGCGTGTCACCACTGTCCTAGCACCTCTGCCATTCTCAGCCTTATAAAATAATGTTATGGTTGTTTTCTCAGACATGTGGGAAGGAATTGCCGTCTGTTGGCGACAGTTAAGAATTTGGAAAGTTTTTAAAGTATTTTAAATATTTGTGCACACTGGCCACAGTGCCCCATGTGGTGACTGGTGGTTGAGCCAAAGTGACTTTGTCTGGCAGCGCCGAGTCTGTCTGCTCCTGCTTCAGGGTGCTCACTCATGGCCAGTCTGGCTCTGAGGGCAGCTGGGTTGGGTCTGTAGCTCATACAAGCACACAGGTCTGGGAGGCTGCTCTCTGGGATTCTGTGGGCCAGGGATACACATTTCCATCACAGATCTGGGAAGATCTGCAGTGGGGATCTGGGGAGGGTTCTTTTCCATGAAATGTATGCTGGTGAAAACCACGGGACACACGAAAGAGGACACATGCCTCCCACCAGCTCTAGTACATGTAGGACCATGTCTAAGCGAGTGTTACAGAAGTCACATCCACAGCATAAGTCATTAAGTACAGGTGCATATGAAATTCAGAAAACTTTTATTGATAATTTTCCATGCCAAAAAGCTGTTTATTTAAAATTTAATTTCCACTTGAGAAAAAGAGGCAACAAGTGACAGTTGGGGTCCAAGCCTGTTCCTGGAAAGTTCCCATATCTACAACAAAGCTCGCACATCCTATGGCTATGAGACTGGTCACTCAGGATTGTATTCTGGGGAATTCTCCCTACTGCTTCCTGGCAGGATGCTGTTTGTGTCTTGAGTTGGTTGTAGTTAGGAAAAAACAGCAAAAAAAGAAATTCATCCTAAGACTTCTTGGAACATTTCTTGTTTTACAACTATCAACCCTCAAAGATCTACCACCACTCAACCTAGAATATATACATTCCCACTGGAAAAAACATGTGATGTTTCTTGCTGGTGGTGGCATCCACTCCTTGGGATGGCCGCAGCTTCTTGGTGGTGTCTGGTGGACCCTGCAGTGGGAGTCACTCAGGAGTGCTTAGTCTTGCTGCAAGTGGGACACAGAAGCTGACCCTTGCTGACAATGTAGGCCCGGCCGCTCAGCAACTGCTCACAACCTTCACAGACAAAGTGCTTCCGGTGCCAGGCCAGGTCTTCCACACGCTGGTAGTCCTCTGAGAATATGATCTAGAAGGGGAGCAGGAAAAATGAGTAACTCCATTTCTGCCCATAGGTAGAAAGACAGACCATGGGATGGGGGTTCATACCACCCCATTCTTATCTTGGTCTTTTAGAGGCCCCAGTGGAAAAATCTGACATAACTTTGGGGCAGTTGGTGGAGTACTTGGTGAGGGACATGGTTCCATCTTACCTCTTCAAATTAAAAAAAAAAATCCTCTGGTGTAGGCAGGCTTCATTTATCTAGCACCTGTTAAAGTTTTTTTTGAAAATCCAAAGACCAGTTATGTTTTCAGATAGAATGACACAACAGTGAAGTCAGCTTAATGGCAGGTAAGCTGTTGATGGTCAGTCTTTAAGAGCAAGAATACAGAGGGTCATTGGCCTTGGAATAAAATGACACTTTTCAGGTTATTTACACAAAAAGAACCAAGAAGCTTAAGAAAAAATAATGAACTGGTCGCATTAGCCTTCTTATTTTTGAGTCATGAGAAACTGGCTATGAATTTTCACAAGGTATTTGTTAGCTTCATGACTTTGGTCAAATTTAATCTGTCTCTGCTTCCACATCTGCAAAATGGGGACACAAATACCATCCACAGGATTTTAAGAGTACAAGATGGGCTACTGCACAAGAAATACTTGGGACAATGTGCAACCCAAAGACAGCTCTATGTAGTTATCATTGGCCTTTCTAAACTTCTCTTTTCTCAAATGTAAAATGGATATCATGTTACTATGTCTCAAAAGGAGCATTGTGGCATATGCATGGCATCTTATATCCAAAGTGCGGAGTTCATTACTGACAGTATATAATGAAGAATCCTCAAAGCACCTACACTGTGGTCCCCTCAGTCATGAGGTTGTGAGCAGGCTTTGTGCTTCTGAGTATCCCTGGCTCACACAGTCATTAGGTGAGAGGGCTGTGAGACCACCGCGGAATAGGCAGACCATAGACTTCGGCGCAGTGTGGAGCAGACATCTCTAGCCTCCATATGTGCCCCTGCCTCTAGCTGCATGCCAACCCAGCCTGCTCCTATGCAGGCCTGATCTAGAGTTCCTGTCTATTCATACCCATACGAGGTGTTGGACCCCTTTCATAGCTTCTGCTATGCTGTGTGCCATGGATGTTGTGTAGTCGCACGTACAATGTATTATGTTGCACCATGGCAAGACCAGCTGTAGCTACCATCTGTTGGTTACTCAGCAGGCCAGGGCCACCCTCCATCATCTACACAGCCTCTCACTTACCCTTCCAGGTCCTCACTGGGTTGGGCAGACTTATTCTTACTACAGAAGCAGTGGCCCCAAGGCACAGGCATTAGTAACCACAGGGCTACCAACATGACTGGAAGGGTGAGCCTGGTGCACCCTCCACCGTTCTGAGCACCTGCTAAGTGCCAGGCACTGTGCCAAGGCCAACTTGACTGCATTCAGTATCTGACCCATTCCAGACCCCATGCCAGGGCCCCAGTGTCAGCCCCACTATGCAGATGGGAAGATGGAGGCTGAGGGCATGCAGGGAAGGGAGCCTCAGTTTCCCAACCTGTGGAGCATCATGAACACTCCCACTCCTGAACCCTGCCCTCTACCCTTCCCACCTCATCGCAGCCAGAGCACCGGGGCCGCAGGCTCTCGCAGTAGTGGCGGCCACACCAGGGCGCACCATCCTTCCAGAAGTAGATGAGATCCACCAGCGGCTCGGAGCACCGTGCACACACAAAGCAGGCCGGGTGCCACTGCTTGCTGTAGCCAGCCCTGTCTGCATAGACCACGGGGCTGTCGCTGGGGGCCACACTTTTGCACAGCTCACAGACCTGGAGGGTAGAGAAGAAGCACACAGATGACAGTTTGCAGGTGCCTTGGACAGGGGTTTGAGCCTCAGCTCTGCTCTGCTGCTCCCTGCATGACCTGTGCAAAGGTCCTCAGTTTTGTCTCCTATAAGGGAGGATAATGGCATTGTCTCCCTAATCAGTTGTTTGTGAGGTCTCAATAAAGTTATTAATTTATTCCATTGAGTCTCAAATCCCATGAGTCTCAAAACTGAGAATTCTCAAAATTCTGAAACATTAGAGAGACCTCCAGGAAGATTTTGCTCATGTGAGTAGCAGAGACTGTGATTTACTGTAAGAGACTATAGAACTAAGAACATTTTAATATTTCTTGATTTACTAAATAATGACAACAAATATATAGCACACCAACATATATATTTTATTACTAAAAATAATGGGATCGAGGAGTAGTTCTGTGGTAGAGCACTTGCCTCTCATGCATGAGGCCCTCGGTTCAGTCCCCAGAAATATCAAAATAAATGAATGAATAAATAAATCCATCCTCTGAGAAGCCAAAAACACTATATATTTTAAAATTAAAAATGCAGTCCCAAAACTACGAAATAATGCTGAGTGATATAAATAGAGAGATGAGGCCAGGTACACGGGTCAGAAGACTCAATGTTGTCATGATAGCAACTGCTCTCAAACTGGTTAACACATCCAATCTTCTACCCATAAAAATTCCAGCAGGCAAAAAACAAAATTAAAAAAAATAATAAATTGCTTTCTAGTTTTATAAACCTTTCTGACGACTTGCTTAAGACAGTGGGTTTTCAGAACAGCATCTGCATTCCATCTTTTGCATTATGTCGCTGGCAGAAATACGTGAAGAATATCTGACTTCACACTGAGATATAGTGGGACAAGAAGAGGAGTATTTGAACAGCCTTCCAAGATCATTGTGAATATTCCATAAGTGGGAGCTTTTCCAGAGTTGCCATGTGAGATCTAAAATCATTAATAAGAAGCAACGAATCTTTCATGATTGTTTATAATAAAATCTATTTGCTACCTTGTCCTTTGAATGGATCCTTTGCCCATGCACAGTTATTTTTAATAAGCTTTTAATTTTTGAATAGTTTTAGCTTTATAGAAAAATTTTATAAAAATAGAGAACATTCACATATATCAGTTTTTTCTGCTCTTAATATATTACATTAACATGGCATTTTTGACATTTCATTAACCAACCTTGATATGGTATTAAGTCATATTCACGCTTTGTGTGGACTGTCCTAGATTTTTACCTACTGTCCTTTCCCCAGTCATGCACTTCACACCACACACAGCCATCTGTGCCCTTAGGCTCCTCACACTCTCATTTTCGGAACCCCTGATGGTTCTGGGGAGTGCCGTCAGGTACTTTGTGTAATTCCCTCAGTGGAACCTGTGCCATGTTACTATGCTGCCGCTGGCAGGAGAGTCTCAGCAACAAGCTGCTCTTGGGGCGTGTGCTGTCAGAGTGCCTGTGATCCCCATGACTCCTCACCCTTGGCACTGACCCTGACCAACATCCCTGCGGTGGGGCCGGTGGCGGAGGCAGTGCTGGTCAGGCCCCTCCACTATAAAGTAACTCCCTTTTCTTCTTCCCCACGTTGTCCTCCAGGAGAAAGTCACTCACAAGCAAGGAGAGCTCCATCTCCTTGAGGGCAGAGTATCCGCATGAATTATTCAGGCGCATTCATGACTTTGAACTCACAGATCCTCCAGGACTTTGGGAAACACTGGTGACCCACTTACTCCTGAACTCAGCCAGTGTTGACTGCCATTATTTTTGGCTATTGGTGTGAAATCGGTGCATTCCCCAAGGGCCTCTCACCAGCCCTCTCTCCACCTAGGTTTTGTGTGCTGGAATATTCCCACCAGCTGGCTCAGAAACCACAACACAGGGGAAGTCACTTTGGGCTGCTTCTTAGCCTGAGTTCTGGTGACTTTGTGGGAAGGAATCGCAGGCCTGGGAGAACTATGATTGCAGGTTTCTCCTTTGCCCATTCCCGGGCAGCAGCAGAGAGACCTCTGTAGTGCTACCTTTCATACTTTCTTTCACCCATCACATTTTTATGACCTGCCTGTTTTCATCTGCTGAAGGACAGAAACTTGACAGTGTTACTCCATGAGATCTTTTGAGCACCTGAGTCCCCCTCTGCTCCCCAAAGCCCCAGAGAGGAGGAGGCTCTCAGGCCTTTTGGGGGCACCTGAGTGCAGCACTGAGCTCAGGACCACGTACTCATTTCTAACATGCCTTATACAGATTCAAGTTACTTCTCCTTCTAGAATTATTTCTATATTATAGAAATCATTATTTTCCCTTCAGGAAATGACAAAACTGAGGTTGAGAAAGCTCCACAATTTGCTCAACAGCACACAGCAGACAGGAGGCAAAGCCAAGACGGGAACCTGAGCCCGAAGCAAAGTCTATTACACAAGGTGGCTTTAAGGTCTGCAGCCTCCTGTGGAGTGAAATGTTTTCTCCCCCAAAGAATTCAATTTTTCTCATCAGTAAACCTACAGGATTTTTAATTTTTTTAAAAAATCTTATTTATTTGGTACAGGGTCTTGTTACGCAGCTCAGCTCCTAGTGATCCTCCTGTCTGAGCTTCTCTAGTGCTGAGATTATAGGCATGCACCACCATTCCTGGTTTTAGGGCTGACATGGTATGCTGGGACCAGGGATTGAACCTGGGCCCTTGTGTTTGCCAGGCAGGTACTTGGACCAATGAGCTATCTCCCCAGCCCAACTTGGAGAAGTTTTTTTTTTTTTTTTAATTTTATTTATTTTCTGTGTGTGTGTGTGTGTGTGTGTCTCAGCCCACCAGGGGGCGGGGCTGACTGGCATGTGGTGCTGGGGGATTGAACCGCGGTCCCCGTGCTTTAGCTAAGCTTGTTCTAAGTAGATGC